AGATTAGTATCGGACTGGGCTTTTTATGAGGGTGTTTCACAGGGTGAACTTTATTCAACAAGAACAAATATGTAAGTGTTTCTCTTTCTAATCTTCTAAATAATTTAAATATATTTAGACATGGTCAAGTATTCTATACCATCTTTGCATCCGCGATGAAACAAGATTATTTAATTTATCCTTCTATGATTGGGGCTCAACCCGGAGTGATCTGGTCATATGATAATCCAACAGCAGTATCAACTTTCGATGATGATCATCCTCTAAATGTTTCAGCTGCTAAATGTCATGATTTATCAATATGTCTTTGGTATATATCGCCTCTGATCATATTCAGTAGTTCAACGAAATATGCTCTGCTTGGTGAATGGAATAAATGGACAGCTATAAGCTCTCAACGGATTATAGGCATAGACAATTTTATCGGAAGCAATTTCGCACTGATAACTGTCTATGGTTTAGTTAGTGAAGTCGTTCCAATCCTGGTTTTTCATTCTAACTTATCAATCGTCAATGTAACTTGTCGAATGCACCCTGATGAGGGTGAAGCTCAACTTGTTATTGATGATCGTAGGGTCGGTTGCTATTAAATCAAATGAAGAAACTTATTCTTTTTAAATAACAGGGTGAGTGTGGATGTGTCGGAGTGTGCTCCAAATTATGCGCACACCCACACCCTAAAATCAAAGTAAATTCAAGATTTTTCTATACTAAAATTATAAATTTGGGGTGTGGATGTGGGTATGATGTTTCTTCTTTTCTACACCCACAATCGCATTATTTGGCTGCTTAACCTCCTATTGAGAATTTTCTTTCTAAAGTTTCAAATTTTCGTTGGATATTGGGGTTTTCTGAAGAAGTGACAATACTACAGTATACTTATAAGCTCATTTATTTACACTTTTTGCTGAACATAATCACCATTTTTTTATGATTGACAATATGTTTTAATAATTTGCCAATAGTTTAGAAAAATAAATGGCAAATACTTCAATTTCATTCCAGCTTTCACCATGGATCGATTTGAATATTGTGGTGAAAATTTATGTCCAACAGAGCCGCTGCACTATCAGGCCAATACTTTCTTTGATGAGGGTGTGGGATGAGTGTGAGTCTTTTCTTCAATGACATCCGCAACCACATCCTCGAGGATCTTTTGGTGCAAAAATCATAATATCTTTTAAATGTCTTAATTCAGGACGATCAACTGCATCAAATGTTCATAGATCTCCTGGATGATGACATGGATTTTTTGTAATAATAACTTCACTTGTTAAAATTTAACATTGATCAACATTAGATCTTCTTAAATTATCTTCTTCTTCAGAAACGTATAATTTATTATCATCCAATGCTGTATCTTAAATAAAAACTTGACCATACTCTAATACACCATATGCATCAATAATACCAAATATTCCTAGCTTTTTTATCTCATATACATATTCGTATTTAATTAATTAATTCATGCATAATATTAAATACACCTGGTGAACTTAATTCTATACAAAATTTTTCTTCAATAATATTTATTTATTATGTTATTTGACGTAATTGAAACCATAGATAAGACTTTTTCTTGTAATAATTTATAGGCTATAAATAGTATTAATAGACAACAAATAATCCTTAAATGATACTCGTTTTGTAAACAAAGAAATGTTGTATGAGGTATATCACGACTTTCAAATGAAACAATATCTTGTCGATTGAGATAAAGAGAACCTGAATATTTATGTTAAATGTCAACCGAAATATTTCATAGATAAAATTTGATTTGAACTAATTTTTTTTATTGATCATGAATAGAAAATTTGCATCACTCATTTTGATTAGGGAAGCGCAGTTTCGGTGAAAAAAGTGAATTACTGACAGTGACACACTGACACTGAGCGTCACTGTCTGCAGTGGTGCACTGCCAGTGAGCGAACTGTCTGGGTGTGGGTGTGGGTGTGAGGTGTGGGTGTGGGTTAGGGATGTGCAGTATCAGTATACTGACCACCGATAAAATCACACTGGCGTTCACCGGTACGGTGACGACACTGACACTGAGCGCACTGTCTGCAGTGACGCACTGACACTGAGCAAACTGTCTGCAGTGACGTACTGACACTGAGCGAACTGACTGCAGTGATGCACTGACACTGAGCGCAGTGACTGCAGTGTCTGCACCGACATTTGTGTTCAGAGTGGGGTGTGGGTGTGGGTGTGGGTGTGGGTGAGTGTGGGTATGTGGGGTGTGG